AAAGTATCGGGTTTAGGGTTTAGGGTTTAGGGTTCTCACGATTTACGGGGCTTTGATGTTAGGGTCCGTTATAGGGTGTTTGAGCTTGAACCCAATTCAAACCCGAAGCAACCTACTCTTTTTCGTTATTCATACGGAAATCACAACAAGGATCGATGAAGAGGTAGGCTTTACACGGTTTAGGATTTAGGGTTTCGGTAGATCCTGTAAGCACTCGAAGCTAAGGAAGGAGGCGCAGCAGCAGTTGGAAAGCTGGCAGACGGCTGAGGAAGTACTGAAGAAGGCTCAGATGTGACTACTAGGGTTTAGGATTTAGGGTTTAGGGTTCAGATGTGTCTAGGTATCTTCTTCGAGGGTTGGGGCTTGTGGGGTTTGGGAGTGTAGGGCTAAGGGTTGCTCTACAACCTCATGGGCATCAAGACCATGATCAGCGCCCGATGCCTGAATTTGATCTAGCGGGCTAGGGTTTAGGGTTTAGGGTTCCAGGAAGATGAATTTCACGGTGAACAGAAGGGAGATGGCGACCATCGATTGCAATTCAATTAATTGTCAAGGAATCTACCCTAATTCATCCTAGGGATCCTACTACAACTTCATGTAAACTCCTTTATTCAGGGATTTTGGAAGGTGTGGGTAGCTTCTAATTATGTATTTAGAACACCTACGATTACGGACCGTAAGGGCTCTAACCCTAAACCCTAAACCCTAAACTCTGTTACATGGCACTTGGTGGTCCTGGCTTAGGTTCAGCTTCGAGTCTCTAGGTTAGGGGGTTTTGGGTTTGCGGCTTTGGCTTTAGGGTTTCGGTTTTGGGGTTTAGGGCAGGGTTTACCGGCTTTGGGGTTTAGGGTTTAGGGTTTAGAGTTCTATGACAATTTGGTTTCAAAGGATGAGCATTGTCCTTGCTTCGGGGGTTTGGAGTTTAGGGTCGGCAGTAGCCTCCGCAAGCCTTTTGCCCAATCCCTTGAACCTGGATTGACATCACCGTAAGGGTACTATAGGGTTCTATCATAGGGTTTGGGGTTCTATCATGGGGTTTAGGCTTTAGGATGTCTGTGAACCTTACACGCGCTAATTAGTCATGTACCTGAGAAGACCAAAAGAAATTGGACTTGTTATGTGGGCAACAAAAAATGGGTTGCAAACCTCCCGTCAAGCTTAATGCCGTTGCAGGCATGCGTCGCGCCCTCAGCATTTGCCCAGTCAGTTGGGCGTGTTTTGTTGTGCAGGGTTTTGGTGTTTTGGGGATATCTAAGATGGGCCTGTAGAGTGTTTGTATGTTTTATATGGGTAGTTGTCAAAATTATGGCCCCTTTTGAGGTACCCTAAATAATAGGTGCCGTATTATAATAAGGACCCAAAAAGGGACCTAATTTTGACAACCACCCATATAGGTACTTGGTATAAGCTTCCGGCGGGCACTCCAGTTGTGCCTTCTCTGCTAGGCATCTGCAGGTGCGAGGGATGCGACGCGAGTTTGGGTTTAGGGTTCAGGGTT